GAAAAATTTGGTGAGCGAATTCTCTTTCTCAAGCAACCTTTTATGTTTTATATACAGCCCAGCTATATAGTTGTACACTACCTATGAACTACAGAGGATGCAGGGGGAAAAAATCACCCAGCCCCATTTCTACTCCTCACATGTTTTGCTAAATAACCTGCGCTCCCCTGTTCCGTCGAGAAGCCGTGCTGGTGTTGAGTCGGCGCACTGTCCTAATGTATTTATTGCTGTTCACATGGCGTTGGTTATTTGCCCCAAACTAATGTTCTCTACAATATATGCTGAAATGCACATTAGCATGCATTATAGTGTTAGAAATATGCATAACTCTGCTTTATGCAAGGCAATACATTCCCCCCTGCAACCCCCTCCCTTATCTGCACCCTCAACATGTAGTATTTTTAGAGAAATCAACCAATGCAAAACCCCCTCTGCTGGTGTAACCTGGTGCGTTCCACACCCCCTTGCGAGGACACTGCCTGCAGCACTCAAGCTGTCTATATTAGCACCATCAGTAGGTGTTTCAAGGCAGTGAGATATAACCAAGCGATTGTTTGTGGAGCTTTACTTTAGGCACTCTCTATGTAGTTGCCCAACCACATATGAAAAATATTGGCCTTTTTCGATGAATTTCAGAAAGGGGGAGACTCAACCTAATGTGTTTACACCAGTCCCTAAACATAAGGTGCAAAAAAATAAATAAACATAGGAGATGTATATGCTTCCAAAGCGCCATTTAAAGGAGAACTCTGGGGTCAGGGCTTTTCCCCATAGTTCTCTGAAGGGTAATAGGAGGACACAAACTAGCGCCCTCTGTCACCCTAAGCTCAGTATATAGGGAGCTACAGCTCGCGGTATACTGAGACGCCGCAGCTGAAGCGGATCCCGACAATGCTGTCGAGATCCGCCCAGCTGCGTGAGTGACAGGTGGCTCTGCCTATCCAGAGGCAGAGCCAGCTGTACCCACCCCCTCCCCCATCCGTTCCGCCAGTCAGCGCTGGAGGATGGGAGGGGGGAATCCAGCCCCTCCCCTGTCATGGCAGAGAGCAGTGAAAGGATCGAGAGGTGAGTGGAAATCACTCATCTCATAGTTCTCTTTTAAGGAAGACACAATATAATCTGTCATAAGGTCTTTGTAGTGTTCAAAGAAAACCCAGTACCCTGAATAGATGCATGCAGACTCAATTGAAACATCCAAACTCCTTGCACATTACCCTAATTAGAACCTAGACCCGCATTTCTGTAAGGCATATGTGCAGACTACTTCCCCTCTGTGATTGTAACATGTGATCCCCAATCTTATCCTATATGTTTGTACCTTCAAAACCCTGAAGAAACCTATGTGAAATTGTAGCCAGTGGTCTCGGGCAGTGCCCCAACAACAGCGGCACCTCAATATCCATCAATTCATCAGCCACGTCAGCTCCCCCGAGGCAGGAGGACAATTCTACAAACCAGGCTTGCACAGAGGCAACTTATTACTCAACAATCTTCAAGAGACTCTTGGAAATCTAATAAATGTGTCCCAGGAGTCCCGGCAGCAGATGTCTGAAAACATCACGCATGAGTTGCGTGTAATGAGCCAAAATTCGGCACATTTAGCAAATATTCAAAAACACAAATTCTAGAAGAACAGAGAAAAATCTCTCCGGCCCTCCCTGTGTTGGTGGGAAATCTTACCTAAATGTGCCCGGTGGCCCTGTGGTACTGCCAAATTCGCCAGATGTCTAATGCTAGGGGAGTTTCAAAGGTATACTGAGACGCCGCAGCTGAAGCGGATCCCGACAATGCTGTCGAGATCCGCCCAGCTGCGTGAGTGACAGGTGGCTCTGCCTATCCAGAGGCAGAGCCAGCTGTACCCACCCCCTCCCCCATCCGTTCCGCCAGTCAGCGCTGGAGGATGGGAGGGGGGAATCCAGCCCCTCCCCTGTCATGGCAGAGAGCAGTGAAAGGATCGAGAGGTGAGTGGAAATCACTCATCTCATAGTTCTCTTTTAAGGAAGACACAATATAATCTGTCATAAGGTCTTTGTAGTGTTCAAAGAAAACCCAGTACCCTGAATAGATGCATGCAGACTCAATTGAAACATCCAAACTCCTTGCACATTACCCTAATTAGAACCTAGACCCGCATTTCTGTAAGGCATATGTGCAGACTACTTCCCCTCTGTGATTGTAACATGTGATCCCCAATCTTATCCTATATGTTTGTACCTTCAAAACCCTGAAGAAACCTATGTGAAATTGTAGCCAGTGGTCTCGGGCAGTGCCCCAACAACAGCGGCACCTCAATATCCATCAATTCATCAGCCACGTCAGCTCCCCCGAGGCAGGAGGACAATTCTACAAACCAGGCTTGCACAGAGGCAACTTATTACTCAACAATCTTCAAGAGACTCTTGGAAATCTAATAAATGTGTCCCAGGAGTCCCGGCAGCAGATGTCTGAAAACATCACGCATGAGTTGCGTGTAATGAGCCAAAATTCGGCACATTTAGCAAATATTCAAAAACACAAATTCTAGAAGAACAGAGAAAAATCTCTCCGGCCCTCCCTGTGTTGGTGGGAAATCTTACCTAAATGTGCCCGGTGGCCCTGTGGTACTGCCAAATTCGCCAGATGTCTAATGCTAGGGGAGTTTCAAACTAAAACTGGAGTAAACAGAATTTGGAGCAGCTGTGCACAGTAATACCAAAACTCAGCTTGTGAAAAGGAAAGATTGAAGCGGGTCAACATGCAACTGATGGTGAAGACAGATTTTCTGCATTGGGTTATAAAGTCATGATGTTTGGGCGCTCGCGGTTTATACGTGACTGGCACGATTTAACGTAAACAGAGAAGAGATATGTTTTATATGATGATAATACGTCAATGAAGCTGCGGCCTTGCCCTGCCGACAAAGTTTTTTTGTCTAGTATTCATCGGCGGCGGGAGGGCAAAGGTCACAAAAGTATGTTCAACGTAAAAGAAGTGTTCAACTATGATTCTCCGCAGTCGTGGCAGATCATGTGACCTGTAAGGAGAGGGAGCCTGGACCTTGCAGTGAGGGTGTGGTCAGTAAAATGCACCCCTCCTGTATAAGGGGGTGTAATCAATTATTAATTGGGGGATAGCTTTCAAAGGCGGAGACAAGTGGGAGGAAGTGGGCTTGCTGGCCTCTTGGGAGTTGACCAGCAAGCTGAACATCCCATCAAGTGATTTTCAATGAGACTGTCACAGGCCGGCTCAGTAGATCGGGAAGTGAGCAAACACATACCGTCGCTCGCTCACTTCTCTATTTATCCCTTCAGAGAGCTGTGACTGTCACTCACGGCTCCCTGCAGGGATTTCCCCCCTCCCCTGTCCGATCCTCCAGCGCTGACTGGCGGAAAGGACGGGGGAGGGGCGGGTACAGCCGGCTCTGCCTCTAGATAGGACGAGCCAGCTGTTAATCACGCAGCTGATTGACAGTATTGTCGGGATCCATCTCGGCGTCTCAGTATACCGCTAGCTGTAGCCCAAAAATACTGAGCTTTGGGTGACGGGAGGACGCTAGTTTGTGTCCTCCCGTTACCCTAAGGAGAACTATGGGGAAAAGCCCTAACCCCATAGTTCTCCTTTAAGCGGTTACCACGTTAACTTTGCTGAAATTCTTTGATGGTCAGACATCTGTCTATGATTAAGATAAAATTGGGTGCAGGTTTGCCAGGCGGCAGCCCAACCTCCTTAAAAGGCACAGAGACGCACAAGGGATCCCGCACATCACAATGGCAGCTGAGACCCCCCATGTGTCACTGCACAAAATCAGTCAAGCAAAACAAATTTACAACACACACACAGAGACCACGGGGAACAAAAGTAGCCACCTCTAGTGTCACTTTGTTACTGAGACCTGACTTCTCTGACTGGCATTATTCCAAAACTTGGCACCAAAACAACCGTACCTACTGAATTTGTTTTTTACTTCAGCCTTGCTCAAAGAAGGCCCAGTGCAAGTAAATGACAGTTCCGGGTTTTCAGTTCATGAACAGTAAAAGGTATCACACATAAAAACATATACACTCCCTGACCACTTTATTAGATACACCTGTTCAATTGCTTGGTAACAGAAATTGCTCATCAGCCAATCACATGGCAGCAACTCGATGCATTTAGGCATCTAGACGTGGTGAAGCCGACTTGCTGAAGTTCAAACCGGGCATTAGAATGGGGAAGAAAGCGGATTTAAGGGACTTTGAACGTGGCATGGTTGTTGGTGCCAGACGGGCTGGTCTGAGTATTTAAAGAACTGCTGATCTACTGGGATTTTCACACACAGCCATCTCTCGGGTTTACAGAGAATGGTCCGAAAAAGAGAAAAGATCCAGTGAGCGGCAGTTGTGTGAAGGAAAATGCCTTGTTGAGTTCAGAGGAGAATGGGCAGACTGGTTCAAGATGATAGAAATGCATCAGTAACTCAAATAACCGTTACATCCGAGGTATGCAGAAGAACATCTCTGAACGCACAACATGTCCAACCTGGAACCAGATGGGCTACAGCAGCAGAAGACCACACCGGGTGCCACTCCTGTCAGCTGAGAACAGGAGACGGAGGCTACAATTCGCACAGCATCACCACAATTGGACAATAGAACATTGGAAAAATGTTGCCTGGTCTGATGAGTCTCAATTTCAGCTGCGACATTCAGATGGTAGGGCCAGAATTTGGTGTAAACAACATGAAAGCATGCATCCATCCTGCCTTGTATCCACGGTTCAGACTGGTGGTGTAATGGTGTGGGGGATATTTTCTTGGCAGACTTTGGGCCCGTGATGCTATCATGTCAGTATGGAATGTTTCCAGCACCTTGTTGAATCTATACCACAAATAATGAAGGTCGTTCTGAAGGCAAAAGGGGGTCCATCCCGGTACTAGCAAGGTGTACCTAATAAAGTGGCCGGTGAGTGTATCTGCAACATCCTTCTTGTTGTTCTATATGAACTGGTGCACAACAATGTTTTGTGGTACCCCAAGTAATGGGTCAGTGGAGGGAATATCGGGGCTGCAAGTCTCCATTTTGCTCTAATTTCTGAAAAAGCAGAAGGCTACGTAATCTGGATTCCCGCTTTCCTTCTTTCCACAGGATGATGAGCTGGTCGGCCGAGCATGTGACTAAGCCATGATCTTGAAAATACAGGAACATCTGTCAACACAAAATATGAACTTGTTATGATAAATGGAGCTTCACAGATAATACATTATTATTATTAATAAGGGTTTATGGAGCGCCAAAAGTTTGTGCAGCGCTTTACAATATAGGGAAGACATTACAATACAAGACAAGATGGTAAGGAGGGCCCTGCCCCTGAGGGCTTACAGTCTAAAAGGGAGGGGCCAGCGATACATGAGGAGGGAGCTGTGTGGGGATGAAAGTGATAGTTCAGTGGTTAGGTTGAGGTGGGATCGGCTTACATGATGCTGGATTAACAGAGGCAAGCTGCCTATACTACAGAAGACCATTTGTACAAGCTCTGGGAGATATCTATACAGTAGGGGTGCCCATTAGGTAGATGGTGATCTAGCAGTAGCTCTCAGAGCTGATGCTGGTAGATCAGGAAGGGGGGGAATGACGGCCCCTTTATTCCATGTTGGTATATTTATTTAGCTGTGCACACATGATTACCTATTAGCCTGAGTCTGCTGAGCCGAGCTCCCCGACACCTTTCTGGTGGATTCTGGGGGTTGTAGTGCTATGTATTACATCAAAGAATATTAGTTTACACAGCAAAATACAGCAAGGTGAGCCAGGAGAGAGAGCGGGGAGAGACAGCCAGGAGAGAGAGAGAGGAGAGACAGCCAGGAGAGAGAGAGGAGAGACAGACAGGAGAGCGGGGAGAGACAGCCAGGAGGATGAGCAAGGAGAGACAGCCAGGGGAGAGAGCGAGGAATGACAGCCAGGGGAGAGATCGAGGAGAGACAGCCAGGAGAGAGAGCGAGGAATGACAGCCAGGACAGCCAAATGGTCAACTGAAGGAGCACATGGCAGGCTGACCCTCTAAATTGCTGCCTTCTATGGGATATATACACCATATGTGAATGTGAATTTTGGGGTTCCTGTGCCAGGAATCCCACATATGCCATTTAGAAGCGGCCAAGTTAATGATCAGATGACAGCGGCTGCATCTGAAAGCGGTACTCCGCATGTAATCGTATGCGATACAATTACATGCGACTTGGAAAAAATCCCATAATCATTGGAGGCCAGTGGCACTTTACATGACGCTTTAGCTGCAAATTATATTTATTATTATTATTCAGGATTTATAGAGCGCCAACAGTTTGCGCAGCGCTTTACAATATAAGGAAGACGTTACAATCACAATACAATTCAAGATGGTAAGGAGGGCCCTGCCCCTAAGAGGTTACAATTCCAGCCCTGAGGGACGTCTTTCCATCCATTTGGTTATAGTGTCGTGTTGGACCAGTTACATCCGTATCCCATTCTGAGCCCTGCAGAAGGGGGGTTGTCGTGGCTCCCGAAACAAGTTGGTTGTTTTTTGTTTGATCGAATTGTAAACAGATAAAGGCACTTTTAGACTCTCAACTTTTGGTTTGGCACCTTTTTTTTCTGACCAGTGAGTCACTTCTGGATACCAAACAAGAGAGGACCTGCCATGCCAGTGACACTGAGCTTACTTGCAAACTTCCTGCATCTGGACAATTTGAGTAAGCACAGAAACCACCAGCGCCTCTTAAATGTGCTACACTGGAGTAAGCCGAATGCGCAATCGCTGCTGAAAAAGTCAAATAATAAAGCACACAAAATATTCTGCTCTATCTTTATGTACACACCCTATGTATAGTGCTGCTCGACTTCTAGGAGTAAATCACTTAAACCAGCGGTCGTCAACCTTTCGGACCTCATGGACCACTAAAATCATCATTTTATATCCCGCGGACCACTAATATGAATTTTTTTTTTAAAACACACACAGACACACACAGACACACAGAGAGACACACACAGACACACACACACAGAGACACACAGACACAGAAACACACACAGACACACACACAGACACACAGAGACACACACAGACACACAGAGAGACACACACAGACACACACACACAGACACACAGAGACACACACAGACACACAGAGACACACACAGACACACAGAGACACACACACACAGAGACACACACAGACACACACACACAGAGACACACAGACACAGAAACACACACAGACACACAGAGACACACACAGACACACAGAGACACACACAGACACACACACACAGAGACACACAGACACAGAAACACACACAGACACACAGAGACACACACACAGACACAGAGACACACACAGACACACAGAGACACACACAGACACACAGAGACACACACACACAGAGACACACACAGACACACAGAGACACACACAGACACACACAGACACACACAGACAGAGACACACACACAGAGACACAGAGACACACACAGACAGACACACAGAGACACACAGACACACACACACAGAGACACACAGACTGATGGATATGTCCTTGTACATGTGTACAGAAGCTAAAAACTTTTACCTGTACAGAAGAAGAATGTCCAATTAAATCCCCAATCAGCTCCAAGGAAGCTGCAATGCCGTTTTCATTTGTCTTCTTCACGGTTTGATTGTGCTGCTTACTGCCTTTTCCAAAACCCAACATGGTGAAGAAACCTGAAAAAAGCAATGTGCTCAACCTATTAATTACATGAAATGAAACATTCCCGGGAGTAAATACAGGAAAGAGTAAGACGCCAATTCGAACGCAAACGCTCATTGACAAAACAACTTTTTGGTTATTAAAAGTTAACTCTTAAAAGGAGAACTATGGGGGGGGGTTTCCACTCACCTCATAGTTCTAGCCGACCTGTGACAATGAGACTGTCACAGGTCGGCTCAGTAGATCGGGAGGTGAGGGAACACATACCGGCGTTCGCTCACCTCTCGATCCTGTCACAGCTCTCTGCCGTGACAGGGGAGGGGATGGATTCCCCCTTCCCCGCTCCGCCGAACGGATGGGGGAGGGTACAGCTGGCTCTGCCTCTAGATAGGCAGAGCCAGCTGTCACTCACGCAGCTGGGCGGATCTCGACATCGATGTCGGTGTCTGCTCCGGCTGCGGCGTCTCAGTATACCGCGAGCTGCAGCTCCCTATATACTGAGCCTAGGGTGACACAAACTAGCGTCCTCCCGTTACCCTAAGGAGAACTATGGGGAAAAGCCCCGACCCCATAGTTCTCCTTTAAAGGCTGCTTAAAATACAAGTTCACGTCTTTCAAAATGTTCCCCCAACTCCTGCAATACATTCATGAGCGGCTGCTCCCCTACAAAGGTCTGTAATATTTCCCCAATGGCTGCGGCCAGCAAAAATTTAGGCTGCCCTAACATCCCACAGACTTGAGTAGCACATTTCCCCTGCAGTACGGGCACATCCTATTTTTTTTTTCATTATAAAGGATTTATAGAGCGCCAACAATTTGCGCAGCGCTTTACAAAATGGAGGAGACATTACAGTTACAATACAATAGGGGTGGGGGGGGGGGGGGGGGGCGTACAGTGACCACTACCCCAGCGTCTCGGGGGAGAGACTAATAAGCTAACTAAACAAACGGTAACA